CCTCCATTGACTATTGTCACAAGAAGTCATAAAGGGCATAAAGAGTTCAAACACATCAGCCTTTAATGATAGTGCTGTTTTGGAATGTCTGTGGAGTTCGATCCTCTCTCAAAAGGATCAAAGCTATAAAGAAACAACATAATATTAATTTCATTGCTATTATTGAACCTATAGTATCTGGTACCCAGATTGGCAAATATGGGATGGATATAGGCTTCAACAAGTACATTGCTACTACTAACAACAAAATTGGGTTATTCTGGACGGAGGAAATTCTAACTTTAATTGACATGATGGAGCAGGGACAATGGGTGCACTGTAACTTCCTTGACAACACTATTAAGGATACTATTGCTATAACCACAGTATATGGAAAGCACAATGGCAAGGAAAGGAGAGAACTTTGGGATGGTTTAATCAAAATCACCCCTCAAACCAAATGGATAGTGGGAGGAGACTTCAATGTCATTTCTGATTGCTCAGAACACTGTGGAAAGCATCCCCCCTTACAATCTGACATGGAGGAGTTCAGGGACTGCCTTGAAACTTGTGGGCTCTCCACACCTCACACTATTGGGTCTTTATTCACATGGTCTGGAGTTAAAAGCAATGGTAGAGTTATGAGGAGGCTGGACAGGGCTCTGGTCAATGACCGGATGATAGAAGACTATGAGGATATCACTATTTCTCATCTTAGTAGAGCATCATCAGACCATAAGCCTATTCTACTTCAATGCAAGAAAGGAAGCCAAGCAGGTCCTAAACCTTTTAGGTTCTTGAATGCATGGTTAAATCACCACTCTTTCCTCAAGATGGTCTCTGATCACTGGGATAGTAGCAGTCATCATGGGAGTATGGCTGGTCTAGCATTCAAATTGCATGGGCTAAAGAGACACATCAAAGAGTGGAACATAAAGACTTTTGGTAATGTGGTTAATAAACTAAAGGAAGCCGTGGAAACAGCAATTAAGGCTCAGGAACAATTTGAGAAGGACCCAACACCAGAAAACAGGGAATTGGATAATAAGGCAAAGGCTTAGTTGATAAGGGCTACAGAGAATGATCTAAGCTTTTGGAAACAGAAAGCTAACCTGAAATGGATGGAAGAGGGGGACTGCTGTTCCAAATTCTTTCACTCCTATGTCAAAGCCAGAAGATCTAATCATCAAATCAGAAGCATAATGGATGAGAAGGGGAAAGAACACAAAGATATGGCAATTATTAAACAAATGGCTATAGACTACTACTCCAAGCTCTACAACAACTCCAAAGATGTAGATATGGAGCCTGTTCTACATTACTTGGACAAACCTATCAGCCACCAGGACAATATCAATATCAGCAAGGTACCAAACGAAGAGGAAATCAAAGAAGCTGTATGGAGTTTGAACCCCAACAGTGCTCCTGGACCT